GAGTGTGACCATCCCAATGTTTTATTGGCTGTTTCCTCTTGTTTCTCCTGGTCCTCACCCATCTCTAAATCTGTTTTAGACACTATTAGTCTTTTTCTTTGCATATGATTTGCAAAAGTATGTTTGGCCATATATAGATTTTTAACTGGTTTATCAATCACTAAAGGGACCAAAATACAAGAGTCATGAACTCTTTCAAACATCCCAGTATCTTTTTAAAGTCAATTGGCTCTTTCCTTATTTTCTGGTAATTAGTGCATGTTTACAGCAAATCTGTACTTTTTAATCCCAAACTTCATAGTATTGTATCCAGACGTCCAAAAGGTGGAGGCGGTGAGCTTTGGGTGAAGGTGCACAGCTCTGAGACTACTCCCTTTCTTCCTCTGCCTGCTCCTGCCTGCGTTCAGGTTCTGCAGAGCAGTTTGAAAACTCCCAGTATATTTCACCTATTTGGTGAGCATGATTCAGCATCAGAAAAGATACTTATTTATATGTTAGAAAAGTTTTTTTTAATAATTATTTTATTTTATATCTTTTAATTTGCTGCAGGGCATGTGTGCTCAACAGGGAGAGAAAGAGAGAGAGAAAGTGAAAAAGCAAGCCACCAGGTCTAGGATTTGAACAGTGGTTGGCCATGTTGAAGTCTAGTGCCTTAACCACCACACCACTGCTGGTCCCTGTTGGAAAGTTTTACAATGATAATGCTTTTTAGTTAGTATCACCTAGGTCTGATAATAGCTCAGGCATCACTTATTATACTACGTATTATTGTATGTATATATTATAATAATATGGCATACAGGATACACATCATATATACTATATATATGTATGATTATACTTCCCTATGTAAATAGTGAAACTACTATGTATTCTGGTACATGAGAGATTGTCCTAGTTCTTCCAGTCAACCTACATTGGCTTTGCAATAGAACAGATGAAGTAGAGATTGTATTCACTCAGTATTTTAAAAATTCACTGAACTATTCAAAGACAATCATAATCTGTTGCCCACATCATGCATTTGCTATTTTGGGTTGTTGGAAAAGACACATTTTTGCGTAGAAGAACATAGAGAAATATGTCATGACTTTTCTGACAACCTAATAATTGCTTAGATGCAAAATGAACTAAGAAAGAGCCTCCGGATTAAAATACTCATACAGTTTTTGATGAAATCAAGAAGAGGCTGAGCAAAATAGTAAAGAGGTTACTAAAATCATAGGTGGTTTATTTTTTAGTTTTTGCTTTGCTTTTTTTTTTTTTTTTTTTGGGGGGGTTTTCGCTGCAGGGCCTGTGCGCTTGCCCATTTCGCTGCAGGGCATGTGCGCTTGCCAGACAGACAGAGAGACAGAGAGACAGAAAGCGAGAAATCACCCCCCCAGAGGGAATGGTCACGCCGCAATCCCTTCTCCTCCATTCTCCTCTCGGGATCTTGGGCACGCACGCACACGCACCCGGCGTGAGTTTTAAGCCACCAAAGGGACCAAAATACAAGAGTCATGAACTCTTTCAAACATCCCAGTATCTTTTTAAAGTCAATTGGCTCTTTCCTTATTTTTCTTATTGCGTCCGGGACGCAAACTGCGATCGACTACGTGGGAATCCAGCGACATAGCCATTATGCTAACTGCTGGTTCCTGAGTTTTTGCTTTTCTTTAAGCACTATTCTACTTTTTAAATAAATATGATGCAAGAGAAGAGACATGAGAACGTATTTAAGGTTATAGGGCAGACTTAGTCAACTCACTTTGGAAAGTTATAACCATTCTAGAAAAACATATTTTAAAACCCTTTGCAGAGCTCAGAGCAAAGTATCCTTAAAAATGTAAGCAGTAAAATAAACATCATACTTGGATTTGAAATTCTTTCCCTTGTTCATAGTATCAGACAAGTCTATTTTAACTTCATTTGCAACATCAGATAAATGACTTAATCTATTATTACAGCATTTCTTATTAACTAAAGCTCATAATAAGCAAATCTATGGTTTGATTGGATTCAAAGCCCCATCTAACTAGTTTGACGCCCAATATAACTGGGTTTTGCG